TTAGGAGAAGTGTCTCTATGTGCAAATGAGAGAAAGCTGCTTGGGTTTCTGGAGTCAAATACAGCAGGTTTGAATTCCAATGGTGCCACCTTCTACTGTGAGATTTTGGGCAAGAGACTTAGCTGCTTCAAGCCTCAGTTTCCCTATCTGCAAAATGGGGTAAGATTCCGCTGCTTCAGAGATTCAACAAGGTAAGCAGCCTGCAATAAACTTCGAGCCAGCGTCCTGCATGCCATATTGATTGTAAAGTGGTGGGAAACCTGGCGTCTCAGAAGTCCTGAAAAATTGAAACCTTTCCTTAATTTTATTTTTATTGGATCATCATTTCCAGGGTAGCAAAGAGGGTTCTGGTCACCCAGAGGACAAGTTGAGGCTCGCGAATGTGAAGCCCCCTTCCCAGGGCCACACAGGGAGCAAATCACCAGGGGGTTCCTGAGCCCTGTGTGTCTGACACTGGGCCTGACCCCTCCAGCCTCAGAAGCCTTGCTGCTGTCTTTATACCTGGCCCTGCGCCGGGGCCAGTGGCTGACCCTGGGGTGTCTGATGGCTGGCCTTCACCCTCTCTGCTCTCCCCTGCCCCCCATCGTCCCATAACTGGCTACCCAGAGTCCAGTCTGGGCCCAGGGGCCCACTGTGGTGAATCAGCCTCCTTTGTGGTGTTGATTAGAGGCCTCCTCCTACAAACATCAAAGCTTCAATTAACATGGGCCGCTTGCAACCCTCTTGCAAAACTCTGATAAGAATAGAATTTTCTCTTGGAAAATGGATTTTTATTTAGTTGTGTGTACTGTTGGTTAAATGACCTACTCTATACACTGGCGCTGAGATTCCAGGGACAATTAGGGGGCTCGTCAGGAACTGGTTATCTGAAGGAAACAGGCGCTGGCCTGTTTAGCTGTCTAATATCCTGATGGGGTGGGGGGCAGAAGCAAGTTAAAAACAGGTTTCTCCCCTTCTCCAGACAGGGGGTGCTGAGGGCTGTGTGCTGAGTTGGGGCTTGGTAGGGGAAGTAGGGTAACCCTGCCTCATGTTCTCCTGAGGGTGTGGCTGGATTGGGGGTCCCCAGCCTTGTATCTGGACTGCTGTGCATGTGTGTGTAGCTGTGCTTCTCTGTGTGAGTTTCTGGGTGCTGTTCAGGACACAGCCTGGCCTCTTTTGGGGAGAACTCAGAGGAGGCTCACTGTCTGTGTAGGAAGGGGGCAGGGCCTCAGAAATACAGTAGGATTCAGGGCACCTGGGCTGGGGAGAATGAGAGGCTGATGTTGGTGGGCCCTAACAGTTTTGATGCATGCTTCTTCTATTAAACTTGGCCTTGTCCAACAAGAGGGTGGGATAACTTTTGGGAAATGCTGTCTACTCAACCTCATTGCTTCTGGGAAGGAAAAGAAATTCTCTTCTCCAGCCCAGGTGTGTATGCCTTTCCCGAGAGGCAGGGATAAGGGCCACTGAGCGTCATTGGATCTGTGCTCCCAACTAAGCCACCTTTGTACTCGAATCTTTTTGGTTCTGAAGATCCCTTGGAAAAGGGGAATGCGCTACTCCCTCCAACCTTCTTGAGCTTCCATTCACTGCTGGAACAATTCTTCCTATTGTCTGACCACATCCCTCTGGTTCCTTTCTTGGGTAAAGTAGACAAGTGTGATGGAGTGACTTAGGGTTAGGACAGTGGCCTGTTCAGAGCGGGAGTGTTTGGGGTAGAGTGAGGGGATGGTTGGGACAGCAGAGAACAGATTATGAAGAACAGCTCACCGGCCAGTGTCTCTTCCTCAGATGGGGAGGTCTGGTGTAGCGTGACTGTATTGATTCAATTATTCCCTACAATGTAATACTCTGCATTTGTGTGATAGCAACAAACAGAGTTGAAAGACATACAAAAATAAATGATCTGAAAGTTAATATGGCTGAATGGGCATCTATGAATTCAAGGAGAGAGGTTTTGTTTTACATTGTAAAATCAATAGCGTGCAGAACAATGTCCTAACTTCCCCTGGGGACCCCGGCGAACCCGCCCGTATCGATCGCCATGCAAATTAATTGAATTCATGAAATCCACATTGCTGGGTAATTGATGCTTCTTATAATTACCTCCGAGTTATGAGCTTTTAGGGGATTGCATTGATTCCTGGGCATCGGGGAGGGCAGGGCAGGGGGAGGGGAGAGATTTGGCTTCCTGGAACTGCTGGCAGCGACTGCCCATGTGGGCAGTGGGCAGGTGGGGGGTGGTCATGCAGCATTTGTCTGGTGGTGGGATAGTCACCCTGTAGAATTTGCTGGTTGTTGTGGGGTACCTGAGTGGCTGCACTTGGACATTGGAAGGACTGGTTGGCTGGAGGATGACTGTCCTGCCTTTTGGGGCTCCTGGGAAGCTGAGCCTATCTTTGGGGAATTGTACTAGCAAACACTCATTGAGCGTCTATTATGTACCCAGAATTGTTCCAAGTTCTTTGCACACATAGAATTCCTCAAGCAACTTATGGGTTATCTCCTGTTAATGTCCTTTAGAGTTTGGCCAAGTTTAACTTAGCAGAGAGGTTAAGTAAGTTGCCCAAGGTCACACAGTGGCAGAACTGGGATCCTTGAGCACCGGCTAATCCATTTAATGAGCTTAAGGATCAGACTCGTTAGGTCACCCGAGCAGTCTGTGTGCTGGTACCTCTGAGTATTTTCCAGAAGGAAGCCTGTAACTTGCACTAGATTACCACTGAACCAAACAGCTGACAGAATTGTTTCTGTTATTTGTGCCATAATGAGTGTTTGGATTCACCTTCTGCCACACACACAGTGTGCCCTTGGAGAAGTCACCTAACTTACCTGAACCTTGTCCACAACCGCAAAACCAAGATGGGAAGCTACTCCCCAGGGTTCTGGGCAACCTCTGGGTGACAGATCATTCATTCCTGTGGACCTTCCAGGAAGCTTGAGCTGAGGTGACTGCAGCAGCAATCATGTATGTTTTACAGACCAGGAAGCCTATACCCAGAGGGGCTGGGTCTCTAACAGAAGACCACAGAGTAGGTTAGTGGCGGGCTCTTGATGAGGTCAGATGGAGCATGCATGCCTCAAACCACTGTCTCTGTTTGCCTAGAGACCCTCCCATGTGGGAAACCCAGGGGGTGTCTGATCCTGGGATGTGCATTTGAAACTGCTTGGGAAAGTCAAGGCTTCTCCACAGGCCCAGCCCTTTCTCTTGCAGTGAGCAGACTTTGGAGCTGTGGCTGGAGCAGGCAAGGTGCTCTCTGGACCATAGGGTGGGCAGATGGCTTGGAGCCCAGAGTGAAAAGTACTTTCACAGATACTATTGCCACACTTCCCAGAGAGCACCTGGGTGATACCCACTTCTTTTCTGGGGCTTGGCCATTTGAGTTACAAACTTCTACCCCCACCCAACCCCCGGCTTTGTTTTAGAGCCGTTGGGGGCGAGGTTCAGAGACTCATCCCTGATTGGTGGAGTCTGTCCTGGGGGAGCTGACGTACCAGTAGTCACTGCCTGTGCTGGGGACCTGGCCTGGCTCCCTGTCCTTGCCAGGGCTGTCCGGCTGGCCAGGTGGCATGCAGCAGGGAGATTGGGGCTCAGAGTTCAAGGTGCTGACTGGGGCAGATTGGCAGCTTGGCCTTGCCTGTGGCTGTAGCTTCTGCCTGGTTTTCAGGACTTGATGTGGGGAGGAATGTGACAAGGAACCCTCAGGCATAGGAAGCGGTTCAGTTCTCCACCTTCAGAGGGTTTGGGCTAGGAGCATGCCAGCTCTCTACAAGACACAGAAGACTGCGTGTATAGCCTGCTCCGGGGCTTCTGCTGTCGCCGTACTTCTTTGCAAACCCCCATACAATCCCTTTCCTGCTCCAGACACTGCTAGGGTGTCCTTGCTGGCACCGGCCATGGACTTGGAGGAGCTGGCACATCCAGGCCCCCAGGTGGCCAGCTGGTGGGCAGAGCTCTCTGACTCCATCTTGGTGTACAGATCATGAGCTCCTGCCTGACCTTGAAGCTTATTGTCTGGAATCAAGAGTCTTGAAAAATGGGAGGATCTTATGGGATCATCTAATTTAATTTCCTCACCAAAATGAGGCTCGAAGAGGTCACGTGACTAGCTTGAGGTCTCACAGCCGGTGTGTATAGGGTGTCTCTAGTTCAAGGCTTCTGACTCTTAGGTTCAAGGCTCTTTCATGATATCAAAATAATCTCCCAGCATCTAGCCCGCCCACCCCCTCTCTTGGTGACTTCTGGTCATCTGGGTGGGGTAGTAGGGGCGTCCTGGGAGAGACTCTGCTCCCCTCTCCTCTCCTGCTGTCACCCAGAGATTCCTAAGATTTCAGAGAGATTGAGGATGTGGTAGAAGCTT